CATGTGTATGGGAAAGTATGTATGAGTTGTAACCAATAAGATGCAATTTTACTACAAAATCGGAAAGCTGAGTAGGAGATGCTGAAGAATAAAGGATGTGCAATGCTTTATCTTGATAATCCTGTGTCTTGTGTTAATAACTAATGCATTTGCTTAACAGCTTGAGTGGGAAAGATTAGTGACTAAAATCATGCAGGTTCTTCTATTTGAGAAGCTTAAATCTAGGGTGTTCTTAATTACATTCAGTCATAATCATGTATGTAATATTGCAATGAGTGAGAGTCTTATTGCACTTGATTTGCAAAGTAAATACCAGATCAGGTTTCCTTGCTGTTTGCATTTTGTCCTGTGATCAAATCAATGGTTACTATCCAAAAGCAAGAGAGGGCTTAGACCTGAGAGAAAATGAAATACAGTGGTTGGTATCGGTGTTATTTTATACCAATGTTACTTTGTAACAGTTTGTTGTAACTTAACTTTATATTCTAACAACATATACAAAGAAAGTTCAGTCATGCACAAGCTCAGCAATGATTTTGTTGGTCAAGAATGTTCCACTATTTAGGGAAATCATTATTAAAGAAATCATGGGAACTTGAGAAAAACTTTTTATCCTCTAAAAGCAGCTGTAAATGTGCTCTGACTGCTTTGACAACTCATATAGAATAGCATGGAGGAACTGAAGTGTGACTTTGTTCCCTCATGTAGTGATTTGTTTAGACCTCTTTCTGAAACCTGTATTGAAACATGAGAGCTCTTGTTACTGAAAGGTTTGATTATGAATGGTGAAGTGTAGTGATACCAGGTCTTGTGGTTTGGAGTATGTCAGGAAGAAGCAACGTCAAGTGATCTCAAGATTGTAGCAGAATTTCTGAAAGGCTTTAAATGGTATTTTAACTCCCCTAGTAAGACGTCAAATGGAATATTTTTAAAAGGTCTTTTTTCTCCATCTAGAAAGTGTCAGGAGATCATTCTGTGTGGATATCCTGTATGGATTACATTATTTTAACCACCTGTTTTCAGAATAAGCAGGTTGGTTTGTTGAGTTGTTTTTATTCAAATAAAAGGCTAATTAATACCTAGATCCTCTCTACTGGAAAAATGCTCCTTTTTATAAACTTTTAGAAGTTGCCCTGATTTAGTTTAGTAGACTGCTGACAAACTCATATCAACAGGTAAGTTTCCTTAGTATCTTTTCTTTGAAGGGTAGGCTTGATTCAAGAAATAATGACATTCTTTTGTCTTCCCTTAATAAGTACAAATGATGTGAAAGTTAAAGCCCTTAATGATCCATAGTGGATTCTGGTATATTCCTTTTATTCTCAAAGAACAAGAGCAAAGAAGTTTGTTTAACAGCTTTAAAGTGAGACTAGGCAGACTTCTATCCTGCATACCACTAGTGTGCTGGCTTGTTAGGATGCTCTCTCAGGAGTTCAAAACAAAAATTAAGTTCAGGAATTATATTATTGAACTTCCCAGTGTTTTCTGATAGCTATGTCAATGTCTGACAAGGAATATTTATCATATATGTGTGATTCCTTCAGTTACTCTTTTACCTCTAAAAATTAGAGATTTGCTTATTGACTGTTGTAGCCTGTTTCTTTAAATAAGGCTATTTATATGATATTCTGAGAATTTCAGAACCTTCTGTTCTGAATTTAGTATGTGGAATCCAAGGGAAGGGAGTTTAAAATAACAACTCTAGTGAGATTAATTTAAAGAAAAATCAACATCCGCATTAAAAAATGTTATAACTTAGTTAATGCCATCTAAAGAGCAGTCATTTATTACTGTTTAACTGAAACCATGTGGATAATCTAATTGTCTGCCTGAGCAACCTTACGTGGTAGCTTCTCTTTCTTATTTTTATTGTCACCTTTACAGTTATTGTGAAGAATTTCTACTCAGATATATCACTGTATTATGCTTAATAAGTAGATTAAGGTTGTAGCTCAGCAGTGTGTATCCTATACTCCAAGATATGCCTGGTGTTCACAGGGGGAAGGGAAAATGCAGAACAGATACAATATGTATCAGCAGTGGCACTTGATGTTCTGAAGAAGTATCAGAAGAACCTTCTGTGATTTGTTATCTCATTACTTAGAGAGTGAAAGTTGGTTGATATCGAATCAGCACAATATATTGGATTTTTGAAAAGGCTGAACGGGCTCCTCTATAAATGTGCATTGGTCAGATCCAGCAAGAGTTATATTCTGGCCATTAATCCTTAGTTATGGGGTGAGAAAAGGAGACTTCCTCAGGCTTCAAGTGCTTCAATTTACATCTTACTTGAAAAGCCTTAGTCTGACAGCCCAGATGAAGGTTACATTGAACTTGAATGTCCATTCAAGAGAATCAGAGAGAATGGGAAAATTAAGAGAAACATATCCTCTTCAACTGAGTTCTCACCACAGACTGGTTAGGTCTCAGGACTTTTTTGCTCACAAAGGACTTTGTGACATGGATGGAATCATCTCTCTAGCAGACTGTAGCAATAAAGGATAATTCATAATAATGTACTTGAAAATGTGACTGATCATGAAAATACAGTAAGTGGCTGCAGTAGGTGTGGCCATAATATCTGTTGCATCTTTAACTATTTTAGTGACCATTCACAGACTCATCATTCATAGCGCTGCTCTGTGAATTAAAGGCGTTTGCACCTTGGGTATGTTTAATAGATCACAGACTGTGCTCTGTGAAAGACACAAGCTGAGCAAGGTCTTCCTTTCCATTTACTTTGGGCTAACCAGAAAGTGCAGCTGGTTTTCAACACAAGCAATCCCATTATCATATTAAGATAAGCATTGTATATAACCTTTTTTTGACTCTAGTTATTCATAGCACTTTGTCAACATTTCAACAGCTTAGCAGCCTGACAAGGAGTTTTGCCCCTGGACTAGTATTTTCTTTGAAAGCTTTTGTGTCCACTTCTGCCACTGCTAGACCAAAGTGTTAGATACTACTATTTGCATGATGTTCTCCTTACCCTGCCATATTCCGTATTCTCCCTCAAAGATTCTCCTGAGTGCTTTTCTTTGCCATTAGAGTATGTGAAATGAATTTATTTCCAGTACATTGCTATTCTGAAAAGAAAAACTTTATTGTATCCTAGACATATGGGGACTCTGCCCTCAAGAGTAAGCCTGTAATTCTTCTGCTGCTGCTGCAAATACCAAACTTTCTTAGAATATTTTTTGTTTTACTGTCTATCCATCCAACAACAAGTGGGATCCAAACATAATCTCTTATGGATTTGTCCTTGTTCTTTTCAAAGAGCTGAAACCACACAGCATCTGTGTGGCCTGATTAAGAAAACAATGAATTCATGTTTATCCATATCTAGGTAGATCAGATGAAACTTTCAGACAATAATCAAGGAAGATAACTTGGAAAATATGGTCAGTGCATTTGGTAAAAATAACTTGGTACTGACCTAGGCAGAAGACAAATTTCTTCTATTTCCTGTAGCCAACAGTGTCCTGTTAGAGGACAAATCAAGTCACTTTGGGAGGTTCTCTGTATATCATCTTCTTCAGTCCTAACCTATCTGCATATATGTGGTGGTGGTGTGTGGTTTCATCTATGGCTCTTGGCATGGTGTTACTCTAGATAGCCTGTCCAAGCGTCTATTACTCGTCTGCAGTCATGTGAACGAAATCGTCATTGTCCTGTGCTGTTGTATATGAACTCATTTGGTAGCCAGGCAGTTTAGTCTTCAGAGAGAGTGTTCTACCCAGTCCTATCCCCATTGGTGGTGTCTGTTACAGATGCTTGAGAAGCTGGAGTATCTGTTAGAATCCCTCTGACTAATGTTACCTCCAAGGAATTTCTAAGCTTTAAATGAATCCTTTAATACTGAGGATTTTCAAGTCTGAAAATACTACAGTCTGTTCTGAGAAGTTTTGGTATTATCAGTGAAGATGATGTCCAGCCTGAACTTCCCCTGGTGCAGCTGCATGCCATTCCCTCATGTCTTACCACCATTCACCAGAGAGATCAGCACCTCTCCATTGCCCTCTTTGAGGAAGGTGTAGACTGTGTGGAGGTCACCCCTCACCCTTCTCTTCTCCAAACTGGACAAACCAAGTGAAAGCTGCTCCTTGTAAGATTTGCCCTTGAAGCCTTCCACAATCTTGATTACCCTCCTCTGGATGCACTCTAATAGTCTGGTGTCTTTATATTAAGGCACCCAAAGCAGCACACAGTGCTCAAGGTGAGGCTGCACCTGTGCAGTGTAGAGCAGGCAGTCACTTCCCTAGGTTGGCTCACTGCACCGTGTTGGATGCACCCCAGGATACAGTTGCCCCTTTCATCTACCAGGGCACACTGTTGACTTATACACAGCTTGCCATCAACCCAAACACTACATCTCTTTCCATAGGGCTGCTCTCCAGCCACTTGCCCCCTATATGTGCATATAACCAGAATTACTGCAAAACAACAGTCCCAAGAAAGCTCTGATAAGTTAGCTTGTTCAGGTCTAGTCCTGCCTGCAGTGTTTCTTTTTCTTTGTGAAAGGTCAATGCTGGTTCAGGACAGATTGTAAGAGAAGTGATGGTCCTGTATGTGCCATAAAGCAACTTTTAAAATTAGCTAATTGTAGTTTCTGAATGCAGATGTGTTTTCAAAGATTATTAGAGAGACATTACTTGGCAATAGATTGAACAATGTTTCAGTCTAAGATTTTGTTTAATGGTTTCTCATTTATCTCAGCTTTTGAGAAAAAAACACTTGTTAAACTAGTTCACATTTCTTAGTATCAGTCAGTACTTTGCAGTCTTGTGCTGTTCTAATAACATTAAACATCTAATTGCATTAAACAGGGCTAAGCTAGCAGATAAGTACTCGGTAGTGCTTCAGGAAAATGGCTGGATTTAATATTTGGTTTGTAGCTTCCCTTAACATTAGGTGGATTTTTGATAAACATATAAAGTTTGTTTGTGTGTTTCAATTACTGAAATTTCTAATAAAAAGTGCAAACACTTTTTATTTTACAGGTCAACAGCAAGGACAGGATGGAGTAAAGGTACAGCAAGCCACAATAGCTCCTGTTACCGTAGCAGTAGGTGGCATTGCTAATGCAGCAATTGGTGCTGTTAGTCCCGATCAGATAACACAAGTGCAGCTGCAACAAGCTCAGCAAGCTTCTGACCAGGAAGTGCAGCCTGGCAAGAGACTGAGAAGAGTTGCCTGCTCATGTCCTAATTGCAGAGAGGGAGAAGGAAGGTAAATGTAAATTTTATCAGTATGTATGTAGGCATCTTATCACAGTTTGCCTCATTTGGGCATGAGATTGTCTTGTATTGCTACATTTTTAATGTTTTCTATTAGAAAGTATGTTTGGTTGGGTTTTCTAGACAGGATTAAAATTGTCTCTATTAACATGTAATATTAATGTTTTTCATAATACCTTTAATATTTTAGAATATAACCACTTACCTATTTAATCATGATCTTTTTAGAGGTACCAATGAGCCAGGAAAAAAGAAACAGCATATCTGCCATATTGAAGGATGTGGAAAAGTTTATGGCAAGACATCTCACCTTCGAGCACATCTGCGCTGGCATACCGGTGAAAGACCATTTGTATGCAACTGGATTTTTTGTGGCAAACGATTTACACGGAGTGATGAGTTACAAAGACACAGAAGAACCCACACAGGTTGGTCAGCCCTCTCTGTATGCATAGTACTGCAAGTCTGAATCATAGTGGCCATGCTTAATAGTGATACCAAAATTCTCACTCACTAGGTTATCTGAAAACTACTTTTAAATGTAAATAAAGTGCTTTTAAAGTGAGGAAGTGGTAGATTTCAATTTTCATCAGTTCAAGCTGACTGTGAAATCAGGTAAATAAAATGAGATCTGTTTCAACTGTTCTTCTGTAGCTAGGCTAGAAAAAGATGATCATTTCATTACAGAGAGCTGATGTACATTAGTTAGTGCCTGATGGACATCTAGCAAATTCAGGTCAGGTGTGTAGGACTGGCCATAGACCAGGGTCTTTGAGCTAGTCCAAGTGAAGAAACAATCCTTAAGAAATTAATTAACCTAGTCCATGCATTAGATTTGGTCTTCTTGGGAAGTTTCTTGAACTTTCAAGTGGGAACTGATAAAGCAAATTCTCTTAACAGATTGGAAAGTGGACCTTGTAGAAGCTGAAGGCTTTATCAGCCTTCTTATTTTTTGCCCCAGGAAGGCATGTCCCTGTCCCTACTCCCCCAACTTACAGCACCTGCTATCTACATCCTAATTACATTTGAACAGTGACAGGACCTTTTAGTATGTTGAATTTGTCTCACTTGACATAAATTCCATAGATCCTCATGGAGCATTGAGATTCATGTTTCTAAATTCCCTTCCCATCTCTGTAATCTGAAAAACAGCAGTATTCTTAAAAAATGCTACCAAGCTGTTCTTTGACGTCTTTCACCTCCCTCATTCTGTTGGCTTTATGGAAGTTTATTAAAATCCTCTGGTGACCTGAAATTCACACTTCTCACCGATAATCACAGCATAGGAAATATTTGTTGAGAACATTTTAGTAGTGAAGAGAGTAGATTGGCAAAAGCCTGTGACTGAACAGAACACACCTGGAAATCAGTCAGGTAGAAAAGAAAACGTTGTATCATTTTAAAGACACTTCAAATGTTGGATAGAAGAGGGTCAGATTCAAATGCTCAAGCAGTGTTCAGTGCTCTCTTTCAGTAACGTTTTGGTTTTGTTCTTTTTTTAAAAAAGGTGAAAAGAGATTTGAGTGCCCAGAGTGTTCTAAAAGGTTTATGCGAAGTGACCATCTCTCGAAACACGTCAAAACTCATCAGAACAAGAAGGGTGGTGGAACAGCCCTTGCTATTGTTACCTCAGGAGAACTGGACTCTTCAGTTACTGAGGTTCTTGGTTCTCCGAGAATTGTCACTGTTGCTGCCATTTCTCAAGATTCAAACCCAGCAACCCCTAACGTTTCAACAAACATGGAAGAATTCTGAAAGGATCATTTATATGGACACCTAGTGCTGCACTTAAGTTTACATACCTTTCAGGATATGGAAGTGGGCTGGTAAAGTGGATTACAGAGCAGGAAATCATTTTTTCAGTCATGACTTCTGTAAGTGTTCCAGGTTGGAGGGTCAGCATGGGAAGTGTACACTGGTGCAACAAGACAAAAAATTTCAAAAATACAAACAGCGCAAATTGATGACTGGATAAACAGATGGAGGAATAATATTTCCATACTGTACTTTTTTAGTTATATGTCTGTATATTCTGTAATGATTTTAAGTGAACTTTACCCCCTTATTTTAGCACTGTATGTTAATGTGTTATTAAAATCAGATAGTATCAATGTAAAACAGGGTGGACCTTGAGTAGAATTAGTACCATTTGATGAAGGTACTTTGTTTTTAACATAAATTTGTAATATTTTCGTGAGAGCATCCTTTTCCCATAAGGCACAGCAAAACTGGATATAGGATGAAGAACAGTGGATATATTTTAGGTTTTGCCTCAGTCCATACAACACATCAGTTAATTTTGGCCATCTTTTCTCAAGTTTTTGAATTACTCAAATAGCAGCTGGGTGATGCATGCTGCAAAGTGGTTCTGAGGTAAACCTCAGATTAATTTTGGCCACTACATTATAGTAGTGTGTATAAATGACAATCAGTGAGTTCTGATTCCTCTCTTTGTGTGGAGAGCTAAGGTTATGTAGAATTAGTGTATACATTAGGAAAGATAAAACCATAGGAAGATATTAACGTAAAATTTTACAGAAGTAATGGTATCTTTATATAGGATGAAAAATTAATATGGCAACCTTTGTGTCAACTTTTGGTAATTTATTTCATTACATATGTCCCTGCCCATGGCAAGGAGGTTGGACTGGATGACCTTAAAGGTCCCTTCCAACCCAAACCATTCTGTGGTCCTATGACTCGTATTTTTAAACAGCCATGGCCCATTTCTAACTCGCAGGTAACATCAAACTTAAAAACTCAATTTTAGGAATTTAAATGTTTTAATTTTGTTAGAATTCATGGAAATTAATCAGACAATTGAGTGTTGTAGCTCATTCTCCAGTATCTCTTCTCTGTAAATGCTAGTTGATTATGTTGTGGTTAATGTGCTGAGTTCTTTATGCTTTGACTTAATAGCCAAAGAAAAGAATTAATTATCACATTTTAAAAAAAGTGAGTAAACATTTTTTTCTATTTTCCCTTAAATATTACTGTCTCTATTTTCTCTTCAAGGCTAATATGTGGGCTGGTAATAAATATCTCTTACGTATCAAGTCTTAATATTTAGCTCCAACCACAAAACAAACCAGGAAAAGAGAAATTTTGTTATCTTTTTGTGACATGACTTTTGATTCCAAAGGTTTGGTTACATTTTCAGATGTGACAATGTAATAGGAAATAGAGGAAATGGCAACACAACAACAAAAACTGCATTTTCTGTGTGAAAACTCCAGTATGTACAAGTAGGAAAGATGGCCAAATACCTCATACTCAGGATTTTTAATTACTTCCCATGGGCACAAATGCAACCTTTTACACATACAGTCATTTCTTAATAAATTCTCATGACCAGTTTTCTAAGAGATTTATACACCAAAATATTTTTGATGTAACTAAAGGAAGTACAGTGCAAGAAGGATAAGATGTTTCGCTACAAATTACAAAAGGAAGAATGTGTATGGTAGCTGTTGGTTTGCAAGACATAACAGATACCTTGTGCATTCCCTCAAAATACATATACTTCTCATCTGAACACTTTATCAATCTTGTGGTGTTTTCTGTATTTTTGAAGCAAAAGAAATACCAATCATTGTTTACACTGTGTACACTTTAGGCCAGCCCTTTGTAGCAAAATACTAAGCTGAGGGTATTTTATACTTTCAGTTTACATGAAAAGCTTTGAGATTAAAGAAAAACAATTTTACACTGTGGTTATAAATTTCAAGTTTCTTAAAGCTTTTGTAGACTTGTAACAGAGTCTTTAAATTTTAGTTGGGTTTTGTACATTATTTTGTATATTTTATTTAAAGTACTCTTAACTGATGTATCTGGATTTAAAACATCAGAATCAATTAGATGTTGCATTTAATACAGATGAACATTAGGTAGGATTAACTCTTAATTTTATTATATAGGAAATGAAACGTCAAATATATATTTTATCATTATGCTTCACAATCAGTGCTCTACATTTCTTTATGCAAAGAAGAACTTTCCTAATGTTAATATCATGTTTCCTAAAAGTTAACCATTTTTGTAAACTGAAATTATGAGCATTCTGCACAACCATTTCATGTGTAATTTTTTCATGCATACTTATGTATGCAGATAGGAAACTGAAGTCATTTTTAATCTGCAATGAATCCCTATTATAGATGTATCCAAATCTAAATCTGGTTGGCTTCATAGCATCTCAAGTACATTAACTTGTGTTAGCAGGTGCACATTTTACCGCTGGAATTAGAAACATTTTGACAGTCTGTTCTGCATACCATTCTGAATCCACTTTTCTGTCTTAAAAGGATCGTAAATTTCAATGTCCTTTATTTGACTCAGTGGGATATAGCTGTTGTAAGTAATAGGGCACAGATGTGCAGTAGTATCTTGTTTAATGGCATTTCACTGTTCATTCCCTTTGCCACCGTTAAAAAATTTGCTTTATTGTAATTATCAGTGCAAAGTGTATTTACCATGGTAGAACTCCAGTGTTAGAATAGTTTTTTTCTTACAATATACTTTCTTTGGTTAGGTTCGTGTATGTGTTGCCGATTACATTAGCAATTGGTGTTAAGTCATTATTTATCACATTCTTTCACGAGAGCAGTAATAAAAGTGTGTAATCTAGGAGAAAAAGTTAATTTGTCAAAGTTAAGTAAGCATGATGTTTAGGTCCTATTTTTCAATTTTATAACTGTTTTATTGCAACAATATTTGTATTTAAGTCTTCATTTTAATGCCTTGTGGTGTTTTTTTATGCATGTCACTGAATTGTCATCCCGCAAGAATTGATGTGCAGCATAGGGTATTAAATCTACATAATGATTTTGAAACAGAAAAATAGTTGATGGTAAAAATGTAAATGTTTTGCAAAAATTCCTTATAAAAAAAGTTTTGTAGTAATATTTCACTTGTAAATTTTTCTAAAAAAAAGAAATGGAAAAGGAAAAAAATGAGAGTAACATTTCCCCACATCTAGAATTTAGAAATTAATTCTGCCAGCAAAGCCTGTAAGGCATTAATCTGACACTTTTACAATGCTGATTTGTATAATTTTTTGGTGGGTTTGGAACTAAAATCATGTACAAGTTGTTGCCTGCAATAACATTTTGCAAGTAACCTATTAAAATTCCCTTGAGTTTAAAAGGTTTCTTCATTTAATTACTTACAATACTTTATATTGCAATACAGCAATAAATTATGTTTGAGTGGTAATCTGTTCATCAGGAAGAACACTAGAAAGCAAATGCTTCTCAATGGGGAAAGGTTGGCAGCAGCTTCTGGATTTGTGTAATTAAGACCTGTACTTGCTGGTCAGCGTTTCCCAACTGGCAGACTCCCAGCAGGGAATTAAACCAGCAGATTCTAGCTCAGCATGAATTCTGTGGGGTTTGTTCAGCTCTTGTGAATGGAAGCTACGGTTATTCCTGAACATACCAAAGGAATAACCAAAGGGAAAAATTTCCTAAGGTAAGGAGTATGTACACACACACACATATACACACACAGAGATAAATAATAAACATTTTAAAAACTAAAGATAATTCAGTTTGAGAGAGCTAAATAATAGAAGTGTGATTGTATTGCAGACAGGGAGTGAGTAGAACATAAATGGAAACTTGAAAGTACTGTCTTCATAAGCTTTTCTTAGTGAAATGTCAACAGGCTACTGTGTTGTGTTATACTAAAATAACTTCTGTGGTATACTAAATTGCTAATTGTAATGGTATACTAATTTTTCGTATTTTAATACTAAAAGATTTTTTATGATAAACTACCATACTTTTGCAGTGAATAATATATTTCACAAAGGAAGAAATAAATACAGAATCACAGAATCAAAAGACCTTTAAGATTGTCAAGCCCAACTGTAAAGCTAACACTGCAAAGTCCACGATCAAAGCATGTCCCTAAGCACCACATCGACACATCAGAAGGCTGCTTGCTTGTTCCATCTCCCAAAAGACTTTAAGAAGACTTTAAAGAATTTAAAATTTGTGACTTCTAGCCTTGCACTGCAAGATAGAATCATCTTTCCTAACTGAGATATAAAATAAATTATCTTTACTGTATGTTTGATGAAGTACCTGTTAAACTATCAGTAACTTCTATCTGAATGTCAGACAAACCTATTAACTGAAGTCAAACTATGTCATAATTCAGGGTAAATGCACCTGACCAACTATTATGTCTTTATTGGCCAATTTTTTAGGCTTGTGGCACTGGTGGGTTTTGAAGCAATTTCTATATCACTGGTAAGAGATTGGTCCTCCATTTACACCATTGCCACTGTACAGTGCCAGAAAGTGTAACAGATTCTAACGCAAGGACATTAAGGCTGAATGTACATGTTACATTTTACCCTTTTAGTCCTTTAAATATGATCATTCTACTCTGTGAAGAGTGTAGTCTAATACTGAATTAAGTCATTTTATCTGCAACTACCATTGAAATTACATTATGCATGTATTCCAGTAGCTTCATTTTATGTCCAGCTAGGTCACAAATACCAGGACAGGGTTTTATCTATATGTCATATTAACATTTCATTCATACTGAACTTCCTGCTGTCAGCTTCACTTCCTTAAGCCTTCCATGCCCCTGCTTCTCATTCCTTTTCCTTTCCCCAAAGCTACTTGCATCATTTGGTAGTATTCTGAGATTTGTCAATGCATATGGAAATACTGTGGGGACTAAGAGGCAGCATGTGCTATCTATGTTCTTCTGTGGGGAGAGAAGGGCAGAACACCTTCACT